GAATTGGTGTTGAGGTCACGTGACGTCAACTTTCCCGTTAAATCTAGCGGAAAAACTGAATTTGTTCATAGGTGACATGACACGAAGTCATGCGAAGTCAATTTCCCTGCTAAGTTTAGCGGGGAAACTGAATTGGTGTTGAGGTCACGTGGCGTTAATTTTCCAGCTAAATTTAGTGGGGAAGCTGTGGGGGGAGGGGGAGGATGAGGAGGGGAGGAGGGTCCTCCGTACACTCCCCTTCTCCTTCATACCCTCCCCTCCCCCTCCTCTGTACCCTCCCCTCCCTCCTCCTGCATACCCTCCCATCACGGTATATCGCAAAATCAAAGTACCTCAAGAGCTGTGCTCTAATTTCGCATTACAGAGATTTGTAAACGTCTTTCAATTTTTTTATATCATCGCTAGCTAACACAAGTCAGAAAATATAGCGAGGAATGTCAGGAACTCTTTTAAGTGGAAAAATTACATCCAGCACAGCTTTTTATTTTTTAGGACGCAGAAAGTGGCCACCTCTGACCCGTGACAGGACTCAGAATGCCAATCTATTGAGGCAAATCTTATCCCAGTCACTCCCAAGAAACTTTTGCCCTCCAAAATTCAGCTTGACATAAGATTCACCCTCAACTCATCTGTTACAGGTACGTTTATAGTTGCTTTTTTAATTAAGAATGGACATTTTCAAGTAAAACTAAAGTTGACCAGATAAATACAAGACCCACATAGAGATGGCACTCTAACATCATTTTTAAATTCTGAAATAAAATAGACAGAGCCCCATTTATTTACCTAAATTCCCTTAACTGTAGTTTTAAGCTAAGGCGACAAAGGAGAAACCTATCGAAGAAAAATATATAAATAAATAGCAACATTTATTTTCAGGAAGCTCGCCCTAAACATTAGTGATGCCAGGTAAAGCCTGGGTTACATTTTAGCTCTACTCAACCTTGTTGCAACAGATAGGCATTGATTAGTGTTTATACCTGGAAATAAAATATAACTGGGAATCTGCATATGTGGACTCTGCATTTACGGTATTGGTATTTCTCAGTTTGGTTCTTTTTTTTTTATAAATCCGGAGCTTTTATGACTTTGCATTATCGAAAGTGAAATGATGAGTTTTCGGAGTTGTATAGCTTCGAAGCTTGCATGCTCATTTTGGCGTCGCCTAGCTTTCTCTCCTTTCATACTGTGAGTATTATGAAAAAAGGGACTGTTCATCGCGATAAGTAAAATGTCATGGAGGAAGTACAGTTTGTTGATAGAAACTTTGAACTTTATTTTGTTCGAAGACTCGAAACATTGTAGACAAGCTTGCTTACCTATTTGCACATTTATTCGTGCTTTAAATTATATCGATGGGCATTCAAGAACATACTTTTAGCTCTTATTCTGTTGCCATGTTGCAGAATCTGATGAATGAATGACCGGTAATTCCTTCGTCACCAACAGCCCACTGGTCCTGATATGTTCATGCCCCGTTCAACATTCATGAGTGTTTTGCGTTTGTGCTGCGGGAATTAAATCGAGAGTTGGCACAATACTTGCGGGGGCCTTTTTTTACATAACCAATGAGAACTGCAAACTTAAGAATGTTTATGCCATTTGTGTAAAAAAATTTATATGTATAATATGTTGTAAAATTGTCGCAGGAATGTATGTATTGGATGAGACAAATTAATATAAAACCTTTTGTTTATTTTGGCCGTTATATATTTCCGTACATTGCAAGGAATATATTTTACCCCGTGACACTCCACTGCCTGCCTGCCTGCCTGCCTGCCTGCCTGCCTGCCTGCCTGCCCCCCCCCCCCCCCCAATAAAGAAAAAAAGATTAACGGGTGCGAAAGTTTTGCCCCAAAAAGAAAAAATCCTGCTGACGTCCCTGGTCGAAGCCTGCTGATTTTCCCTCAGACAGTGCCAATTCTGCCTCACCGTGCGAGGGGCTCATCACTTTCTTTGTTTGTTTGGAAAGGGGCAGCTTGTACTGTTTTACTTCATGAACAGAAACTTTATTGCATGCCAGTAAAAGAAGAAAAAGCTTTTATGGCTCTCAGGTAATCTCGGCCAATGTGCCAGCTTGCGGATTCCCAGATTCAGTTCTACGTCAAAAGGTCCCAATCATCAGTTCTTCGCCGGCGTGTTCCCAAAATTTACTTTTTATTATTTTGTATGTTTGTGGGTTCCTCAATTGGTGTTTGTTCAAGAAAATCACATAAACCACCTGGTCACAAACATGCAAATGCCCGAAAATTAATGTGAGTGAAAGCATAATGCTTTAAAACAAAAATAATAATTATTATTGTTTTATAAAATGCCCTATGCAGTGCGAAGTTGGTCCGCATTATGAAAACCTGGTATCCAAAAACAAAGTCGGCATCTCTTCATGTACGGCACCTATGGCAGTGCATGCCTCAAACTAAAATGTAAGTTTATTTACACTTTTCATTGTTTGAACGTTTGAAAGTGGCAAAGATAAATTATTCTCACAATTAATTGTTATGTGCGAGTGTCGTCACTCACTGAAAGAGTCAGGTGTGTGCAACCTTGATATAAAAATAAAGCGAGGATTCCTAGTGCTTGCATGAAATTGACTCGTATTCGAAGCAACTGGCCACAATAGAGCCTTGGGCTATGGTCGACGGCCACGGCTGCACGACGTCTTTCATTTTGCGGAGATCTCTTGAGTCAAAGTCATGCAGTCAAACGCACAACACTACGGCATCTTCGTAGCCACTGAACACACAGAGCACCACAAAACATTGATTGAATTACAAAAAACATAACTTTGCCTCCGGTTCGGGCATGCAATGAATGCCTGAACCGAAAAGGACTTTTGAGCGCTGTTAAGGCGGCCAGAAGTGCCTGGAATATCAAGTACAGCAACTTAAAACTCCGCCGATTTTCTGATAGTCTTCGATTTGACTGGATATTGGCAGACCGCATCAACAACCTTTTCTCAATTCATTGCGATAATGTTTTATCAAAATAAAAATTTTCCGTGAAGTTATTGAATTTCCAAATTACGCCGGCCGCAAGGGTAGAAGGCGACTTTCTACTGGCAACAATAAAAAATCCCTGTTTTCCTACCCGTGTACGTCACTCGCAGGCAGGCGGACGAGCGACCCGGGCAACCGTGAAGCTGCTTTCCGGGCGCCAGCCACCGAGATTACTTTTCACAGCTTCAAGGTTGAAAGCTCCTTTGCAATGGCTAGCAAGCTGTGCTCCACAGTAGACTGTAGGAACCGTACCCGGAAAAGCTTCTTTTTTACCCTTTTTTTTGTGGTAGCACAAAATGTGCTCCCTGGCAGCCACGGAGGCCAGCCGCATCGAGGTGCTTTCGCACAAGCTGTGTACCGAGAACTAGTGTCGCATGAAACATCTTCACTTTTGCTTGGAATACTTTATAGCCGCGTGCTCCGAGTTGAGTATCCTTTTGTAGCTGGAACAGCTTCAAGAGCGGCAAGCACCCCTCCAAAGAGGAGTACTAATAACATTGAGAAAAATAGTGCACATTCTAGCACTATAGCCGACTTCTGGCGCAGTCACGCATGTTGTACACAATTGCTTCAGAGTATTTTTGTATTATTTAGACACTACATTTTTTTTGGACATTGAATCTAGCTCAGGCTACTCTCGGAGTTCCACTCACGCAGCCGATCGGTTGAAGATGAGAAGCGAAACGTCTATACAAAGTTCAAGTCTGAGTATAGACGTGACTTTCGGCACATTGCTATTCGTGTCTCGTGTTACAGATGTTTAGGGAGCAGATGTTGAGTTTCATTATTATACGATGGAGCCATTGCCTGGTTTGTCAAATGGTAGGTGTGCAATATTCTCTCGCAGAAGAGGTGGTGAAAAAAAAAGTGAAAAAAGAGTGAAGTAAACAGAGAAAAAAACTGGCTCCTTGTGCCCCCCTTCAGACCCCTGGAAATTCAGACACCCCCTAATTTCTGGGGTAACCCCTGCTTGCAATCGTCTATACATTTCAATGTTTACAAGAATCAGTCTGCTCCGTTCACCCTTAAGCTGAGACTAGAAGCTCCGCCTTCAGTGCGAGCTTTCTGTCCTTGCCAACACTAGTGTGAACGCGCACTCAAACCAACCAAAGCACTGCAGAGACCAGCGAGCTTGTGCTGAAGGCCGAGCTTCTAGTCTTAGCTTAAGAGTGAACGGAGTATACATGTGTTAGGTCACAGCCCAGCACCCTTATGTTCCCCACTTTCGAAGGCGAATAAAGTGCACACCACCTGCACTTATATGCTGAAAATAGCACCGACCAGAAGCACTTTTCTGGAATGGTTTATAGATATTTTGCTAAATTACTTATGCACCAAGGAGCATATGCATGCTATAAGACCAGTTACACGTGCTGGAATCTCCAACAGTAATTTTTCGAAAAAAAATTTAAAACAAATGTCACATTCATTCGAGGTAAAACAAGCGTGGGGGCACCTGTACCCAGATTTCAAACATTCTCCGTGGTGCTTGAGTAATTTGTAAAAAAAAAATGTACTGCGCGACCCTTCAACCTTTCTTCGCCAGCGTAACTGAAGCTTCGGATAGAAGAATGGATTCCCTAGCGATCAAAACGGCGTGGGAAAGGTTTCATAGATAGTATCCCACTTTATGCGACCTTGTAGAGTTCAAGCGCCGAAAAACCAAGGATCGCTGGACTAGGAAGCAGGAAAAACGCCCTAGCAGCACACTTCCCTGGCTCATAGTTGGGCCAGTTGGGAGCAAGCTTGGGACAGGCTTGAGCCAAGTTGGCTCTACTTTAAAATTCCTCTTGTCCTCCGCAAGCCCAGCCCTTATCACCACGCATACCTTTTTCTGGGATTTGGACTCTACTGAAGATGCCTCCCTGGTGGAGGATCTCGGAATTTTCATGTGTCCAGCAGTCTGAGGACAGCTGTACAAGAGCTGCTCTAGAATACAACCAGCCGTAGTCAAGCCACCGCCACGTTTTATGTTTATTATAGAGGTGGAAAAGATAGACCTACCGTGACCTGAAGACTGATTCAGTTCCATATGAAATGTTGGATGGGGTAAGGCTCCAAAGACATCCACCAAACGCCGTCTCACTAAAGCCAAGCCGTTTTCCACCAGGCTCCTGCAACTGTAATCGTGTTGCATGTTTAGATAGCGGAAGGTTAGTGATGACAATGATTTTGAAGGTTAGTGGTGCACAAGCTACGAGGCCATCCACGCCAAATTAAAGTAAGAATACTTTGGTAAGGGTTTCACAAAAGTTCAACCTAAAACTTAGTGTGAAACAATAATTGGAGTAAAAGGCCAATGCTAGTAAGAAAGTATATTACTCAAATAAAAGGGACTATGGGATTCTCCCCCAGCAGAAGAGCCGGATGAAATGGGATCTGTTGACGAAAAAACTCGGGAAAATGAATGCGAGGCTTTGGCTCTAGACCGGGACAGGACCACTAGAGATGTAAAGTAGTAAGAGTATCACCACACTGATCACAAATCTCGGACGGCACAACAAGGTTTCATGAAGACGAATCTTGCATGGAAAGCTTTCCCAGGCCCCAAGAGCAGCTTTACTAACGCGGAGCTTTTTTTCGCACTCACTGTCCCATTCCAATGGCCAAAAAAGGAAAAAGCGACCACTTTACTAAAAGCTTTATATCCTGATATGGTAAACAGGAAGACGATTGGAGAAGGTCCCCCAGGACCCGCAAGCCTGTCAGCCTTCTTGTTGCCTTCTATGCCAACATGACTAGGTACCCAATAAAATTGTATGCTTTGACCGTCCAGAAGAGCAGCCTTGAGTTTATGCTGAATTTGTTGTACAAGCATGTTGTTAGTATCTTTAAGAGAGCAAACTGCAACAATCACACTCTGAGAATCAACAAACAGAACAGCCCTTATTATTTTTAATGAATAATGTAGTCAATGTGATACTGCATAGGGTTCTGGAGTAAAAATGCTGGCAATCAAATTAAGTCGCTTAACTTTAGAGAAGTGTTTTGAATACATAGCACAGCTAATAAAAGATGAAGTCTTGGTGCCATCTGTATAAATATGAAGGTAACCATCATACTTTAATTGAGCTTCACAAAATTCTCGCTGATGTACAGTGTAGGAAATGCACAGATTTGTTAAATTGTGTGAGAGACCAATTGCAAGCAACTGGCAGCGTCTTCCAAGAGGGAATACCATCGTCGGCTTTCCGAACGAGGCCGACCTGGTCCAGTGAAAGAAGCAGCGGAATGCAAAGGTCTCCAAAGCGGGAGCTTAGTGGTGGCACAATGCTTGGCTTGACGATAAAGAGACGAGAAAACCTCAACCTTGTAGGTGATGAGCGAGTCGGGTTTTGAGGGTCAGCCAGGATCTGGTAAGCATATGTTAGTTTAAAGATGTGTATGTCGTTTTTTCAGTGATAGCTCATTAGATTCTGCACACAAACTGAGGACAGGGGACGTCCGGAAAGCATCAGTTGCTAGTCCGAAGCCAAGATTGTGAACTGGGTCCAACATCCCCAGGGCAGATAGCCAGGCGGATCGATACACCACTGCACCATAGCCAAGACGAGATCTTACAAAAGCATTGTACAACCATAGAATACATTTTCTGTCAGAACCCCATGACTTCTAAGATTTTCAAAAGATCTATAGATTTAAGACATTTTGTTTTCAGAGCTTTTAGGTGGGAAATAATATTAAGCTTTTTATCAAATGCCACACCTCGGCAGAATCCACACTGGTTGTTATCGAAGACCTTCTGTTCCACCAATATTACATACACCAGTATCAAACGTTCAAACGTTTTTCTGAGGCATCTCGTCAGTTTGACCAGACAACGTCTTAACAGCTGTGAGGGGTCTTTATTTGGTATTAGAAGGGGAATAATGTGTGCATGTTTCCAAGTGTGGGGAAAACATACCTTTTCCCATAAAGTATTGAAAAGGAGGTTCTCAAGGGACTCCATGGATAAGTTACGAAACACTTCATAGTGAGGTCCATAATGAGGAGCAGAGAGCTTTTCGTACATTAGGGGTCGTCTCAAGTTCACATTGCGTAAATGGCTAGTTATAAGAGGTTGCATTTCTTCCAGATACAATTAACTTTTGTTGCCCCGCACTAGCTTTAAACTGTGCGAAGTTAGCACTGTAGTAGGCCTAGCTAGATGAATTATAGAAATGTTCCCCAAGAATGTGACCAATGTCTTTTAATGACAAACAAGGAGCATTAAAAGTTGGGATAGCAAAGCACCTATAGCCCCTATTTACGCTCCTATATCTGTCCCAGGCCTCCCTGGCAGGGACAACACTAGTAAAAGAAAGGAACTTCATCTATGACTTCCGCGTTTTTCCTGCTTCCTAGTCCAGCGAGCCTTGGTTTTTTGGCGCTTTAACTCTAAAAAGTCGCGTGAAGTGGGATACTATCCATGAAACCTTTCCCACGCCGTTTTGATTTGCTAGGGTTGTGGCACACTCCTCGTTCCTCCAAGGTTTAAGTTTTTTCGGCACATTACCAGACGTTTGTGGAATAGAGCGTAGAGCAGCACTTAGTATCTGCTCTATGACATAGAGCATAGCATTCTCAAGACACATAGAAGAAAGAAGTGAAGGATCTAGAGTGGAGTGAAAATTAAAAAGTGTCCAGTCAATTTGTCTAACTTCCAGCTAGGGACCCCACTTTAAAAGATTAGGCAATTGAGTTCTCTCTAAAACAATAGGATAATGATCACTTCCATAAGGGTTGCGGAGAACCTTCTACAAAGAGCAAGGAGGTAATGAAGGTGAAGCAAGGGAAAGGTCAATAGATGTGAACGAGCTGTGCGTGGCATTAAAAAAAGTTGGCTCTCTCCCTTTAAAAAGGCACAAACCTGAAGACAATGAAAGGCGTTCAATCAGACAACCACGGGAGTCTTGACAGGTAGGATGATGGACGTTAAAGTCACCCAGAATTAAAAAAGGTTGCGGAAGCTGCCCTACGAGTGCCTGCAGCTCTTGAAGGTTTAAAGGAACATTATGCGGTAAGATGCAGGGCAAAGAAACCTTTACAACTCAGTATGTTTATAACCCCCCCCCCCCCCTTCTTTTTTCGTTGCTACTCCAGAGAATACTTTTTTTTTATTTATGAGGGACTTTCTCCTCCATTTGGGGGTGTTAATTTGACAATTATATTTGTCTCATGTGGTAACAGTAATCCTCCATTGCACCCAAAGACTGAAGTTAAACAAGCTATGGAGCTGGTCGAAGCATGGGGGGAAGAACTCGAGAACGACACTCCTGTGAGGTGGCTGCCAAAGTTCGGCAGTCCCTCTGAGGCCGCTAGGATCTTGCTCTTCAGGTAACCCTCCCGTACGTACTTGTAGTTCTAAGTAACGTCGTATAAATAGGTCACATTTAGTCCTTCCAATGCTTCTATCCTCGGGGACAATTTTCTGATGGAGTTCAGCAACAACGAAAACATAATCGGGTGCCTCAATGATGTCTACATGTCGCATGGGTCGTGCAATATTGTTGGTACTTTCAGTAAATATCACTATGAACTAAACCCTTATGTTGAAAAATTACAAAAAAAAAACAAAAAAAACACCCATTCGTTTTCTTTCCCGTGCAATGGCAGATCCGGAAAAAATAAAGGAACGAAAAAGCTTTCGTTCCAACTCGCAATTTTAGAACAAGGGGCCACATGATCTGACGCCAGTGTTCATCATAATCATGCGCTGGGGTTGGCAAAGCATAGAGCATGGGCTGAGCTCAAGACACTGTTTTAGTGGGGCTATTCTATTATCATCTTTGAATGCGACAATGTTTGCCGGTACTGTACCGAAGCTGGAACGACGCGGACCGGGTCGACAATGGATCATCTTAGAAGGTAAAGTAAACCAGCGCGAAAAAACGAGACAGAAGAAACAAGGAAGGCACACTCACAGAGCTGTTTTAGGTTGCTGAAAAATGTACCTGTTTGTTGAATAAGGAGAAGTAGAAGTGTCAGAACATGAAATCGACCTCACCTCCAAAAGCTGGCTGAACCCGCTGAACTATTTTCAGTGCCTGACAAAAGAGTCGGTAAACATGAACCACCACCGTCGTCGCAAGTGCAAAGTTTTGCCGATGGGCGCGCCACTGAAACAGGGTCTTTTGGATAGATGGGTAGCGTCCCCTCCCGGTGCCAGCAATATCCAGAGTCCGCGAAGCCTTTTTCGGAGGAGTACAATCTGTAGTCACTCGCAACATTTCAGTTTCGTTATCAACGCATTAGAATGGCAATCTGGACTAGTTGGTTCATGATAACTTTCAGGGCGCCGAAATTACACAAGGACAAGATACAAGAAAGGAGACGTGAACAAGGCGCTGAAATTACACAAGGACAAGATACAAGAAAGGAGATGTGAACAAGGCGCCTTGTTCACGTTTCCTTTCTTGTATCTTGTCCTTGTGTAATTTCGGCGCCCTGAAAGTTATCATTATCAACGTTCCCGCGGGGGAGTGAAGGAGTTTCGCGGCTTTTTTGTTTCGATTGCTGGGTGGGCTCTCTCGCTGTACGTGCTTGCTATCGTTCCTCTCGTCATGACCGACTCGCCCGAGCATACTGCGGCGATGACATCGTTGCAGTTAATTTCAGGAGGTCTAATAAAACGCAGTGCGAAATCAGCGACAGCGACGAAGACGACGAGGCAGCCGTTCTCGGCGAAGTGTTTGCCGAGTCGTTCGCCTGCCAGCGAAGACGCCCAAAATATTGCGTTATGTCGAAGACGTTTTGTGCGCCTATTCGAATGAAGAGCTAGCTATGTCGTTTGTTCGTTGTGTGGTCTCTGTGATGTAATTGAAATAATTAGAAGACAATACGCCAAACACTCCGCCGGTGGAAGTCGCCGTCGAGGGTGACGATCGCTTTCTTAAAGGGGTCATGAAACGATTTTCCTACTTCTTCCTCCTTAGCTTTAATCCTCAACTCAAATGCGAATTGTGAAATCACATGGTCGTGACATTCCTTCGGCACCGGTGCGATGACTCCTAGCTTCCACCGTGCTTTTTATGCACACCATAGAACTTGTCATTCCCCAGTGACGATAAGTTTCGTCAGGGCACTCATTGGCCACGAACGCGAATCCAAATATTCGTCGACGGATTGATTGTTGACGAGCGGATACGTCCGAGTGACGCAGTTCCCGTGTCCAATGCGTGAGCTGGGCTCTGCTGACGTCAGTTTGGCGCCGGTGACGCGCTTTTGGAACCGCGGATGTATCATAGTGAAAAGGCGGAGAGCTTTCAAAGGCAAGAAGGTACAAAATAGTCCGCTACATTTTCAAATGTTCGTATCGAAATGCTGGCTTTTGACTTTCTAGCCTCTTTCGTTTGGCCAACTAAACGATATGCGATTAGTAAAGTCCCAATTTAAAATGATTCATCCCAACCCAAAATTCGTTTCATGGCCCCTTTAACTGCATCCTACGTCTCGTGCACGCACTTCTAGTTCTCTTCATAAGTTTTATTTAACTGCAAGAAAAAATAAATTGTATCTTAACGTCGGGGTCACCGTTAATCAAGTAGTAAACAATGAAAATTTTTGTCCCCTGTGTGTGTGTGTCTGCGTGTGTACGAGGACGCATGCGTGTGTTTCGTGTGAAAATTCGTATAGCGCCGTAAATATAGCTCTAAACATTTCTTTTTTTCCTTCGTTGTAAAATCGTTTTTTTTTTTTCCTTTGCGTGTGTCCTTTAAGATTTTTAGAAGAGCTGAAGAATACACTTGGGCAATTTTCAGTCTGTTGACATATGTTTAGTAGGTGATTTCAATATTGATACGCTTCAACCATAAACCGTACGTCAAGTCTATTGTCTGTGGCTATCATCATCTTTTAGCGCATTTTGGTCTGGAGGAACTGATTTTAGCTCTGACTCGAGAACTTTTGGATAATCATCTTGTGGCCTCATGTCTGGATCATATATAAGCATACGCGCTCCGAATGTTGTTGCAAAATCGACCGTAATGGAGCAAAAATTAGCCGACCATTACTTTGTGGCGTGTAAACTTGCATCCCAACTCACGATGAAATCAACAATAGCAATAACAAAAACATTGGAAATAACTGATATAATTAGATTTGATAATTTGGTTAAAACCTATGATTGGAATAGTTTACTCTCTATTCAAGAGTTTGATTAAGTACTAGGGTTTAGAGATGTATTTGACTCCTTCAAGGACAAATCTAAAAAGGTTATCACTTTGAGGCGGCATAAAGCGAACAAAAATAGTTAACGATCGAGTGATATTTTGTCAGCTATCCGGGCTAGATGTCGGCGATCTCCAACCCCCCCCCCCCCCCCCCCCCCCCAATACCAACTTGAAAAAACGAATTCCCTAGTATGCAAAATCGAGCAACCGCGCTTATTCTATCAGCAAAAAGAAAATACTTTTGAGATAATTTTTTTTTTAAGCAAGGTCAAATATTTTTGGTGACTTGGAATTTGATAAATCAATTACGAGGCACGGGTGTAAAGAGATCGATCGATGCCTCCCTAGAGAAAGTGTTTGGTAACAATACGACAAAACTAGTAGAGGATTTCAATAAGTTCCTTGCCACATTTTCTGGAGTATAGCTCGTGATGATACTATGTTCACAGCAGATTTTCTTGATTCAAATGTTTCCTCGGCATTCCTTCCCGAAATATCTGAACTTGATCTACGCACTTCACTTTTTAGTTTCAAAACTAACAAGGCGCCTGGAATCGATGGCATCAGTGCAAATCATTTACGCCACAATTATGATTCCATAAAACTTGTGCTCCTTCACATGTTAAATGGTTTCATTTCCTCCGGGATGATCCCGGTTGATTTGAAAAGAGCGCTAGTGAAGCCCGTATTTAAGGGGGGAGAGCATGAAAAAACTTGACAATTATCGACCAATTTCCATTTTTCAAACTATGACGGCCTTTCTTGATCCCTTTAATATTTTGTCACCCAATCAAGATGGGTTTGTCAACGGAGGTGGGACACAGCCACTTTTGGAAGATTTTGCAGATGAATTGCATCTAGCCTTCGAGAGGCATCAGGTTGCTTGCGCGCATTTTATTGATGTAGCAAAGGCGTTCGACACACTGAGTCACGAGATTTTACTAACGAAATTGGATATTGGATTCCGCCGGCCCATTCCTTTCCCTTCTCTGGAACTTTTTAACTGAGAGGACACAGCTAGTTTCTATAGGTAATAGTCGAAGCTCCCGAGGTTCCTCAAGGTTCTGTTTTGTTACCTCTTCTTTTTTAACATTTTCGTAAACGATATGTCCAACTCAGTTTCAACATGTAAATTGTTCCAATATGCGGATGACATAGTGTTGCTTTCAAAACATCTTGATTATCCTGTAGCAATTGCTTTACTTTAAACGGATACTGAACCGAAATTTGGATTTTGCATAGTAAGGCTGCAGAAGTGTTGGACGGGATGCTACGAACCCCAAAACATCCCTCGTACATCGATATCTCAAACGGATGGCCGTACTTTTGGAAAAGAAAGGCGCGATCAAGCGAGTTCTTTGACGTAACTGTCCTCCGGGAGAAATTGAGAATGAGGAGAAGCGGCCTCGCTTCTCTCCTCCTCGCTTCGGTTCACCAGCTTGACGGGACGTAGCAAGGAGAGAGAATGGGAATCGTGACGTGCCTTGTCTCGTCGGCCTCGTCGGCCGGCTTCAATCGCACATTTCTTTTCCAAAAAATATGGCAATCCGTTAGATATATTGCGGTATGAGTGATATTTTGGGGTTTTGCAGCTAGACCATTCCATTTAGCGCTCTCTGGGCGGCACCATTTTGTTCGAAAGCAGCGCCCTCGCCATACATCCGGGAAATTCAGCGGGGTAAAACGAGAGAGAGGGCACGCGCCCGACTTCGCTTGCAGACGACAAAACGGGAGGTTGCCATTCTCCATCTTTCGGCTGTATCGGCGGGCTGTACGGAACATCAAACTCTTGCTCGTGGCTGCCGTTGTGAAGTGGTCCGCGTTCTTAGGATAGTTATGGCTACTCCAAAATCAGCCTAGAGCTCACTGTTGTTCTACTTCGGTAAATGATCAACTGACATATCTTTTTTTCCATTACCTAAATAGCAGTTGAGTAAGCCGGCAGTACTACCCTCAACTACTGCGTGTATTGCGGCAGGAGAGCACGTTTTATTTATTATTTCAGACTTCCACTCGTGGTCGCTAAAGGCCTACACCAGTACGAACTTTGTATAGTAAAAAAGGTACAGCAACCGGATTTACTTTTCGCCAAAGAGACCGGCCAATGCGACACAGTTTTTCCTATTATTTTTTTTTATTTGCACGCAGGTAACTGAGTCTTTTTGTCTAGCATAGTATTACGCGACAACTGCCATACCAAAATCTGCGCATCTGCGCTTGAAAGTTCCAAAATGACGCGATTTTAAAAAGAGTTTACACACCAGCCAGACGCTAGCTACAGACCGCTCGGCGGAGCAGACGAGGTCGGGGTGAGAGGGGGAGTGCATTTTTTTTTTTTCTCTTTTACCCTCTCTGCTATGACCCTAATGGAAAAAACAAACCGGAGAGCCCGGAGCGCCCCTAGCGGACGCCACCGGCGCTGCGCATGCGCGATGAGGGTGTGGGCAAGAAGCTCGCCGTCGCCCATAAACAAACCATTGAAATGCGATGTTGTCGGCGTCAGTGTGAGTCCCCGCGCTCTTTTTGGCGTTGGAATTGTGGATTGTACGTCCTCCTAACGATGTCTGACTACTTGAGCGGCGTCAACGAAATTACCGAGGCTCGTTACACCGCAAAACTTCGCGTGAATCGTCTGACATGCGGCGATTCATTCCGCGTGCATGCCGCAGAATGTACGCTAAAGCCAGATTCACATGGTGAGATTTCGCTCGCAATTTTCAGTAGCGACGTCACTCGGACTGCAATAGCGTGAACCGTAGCTGAGATGTCGACGTCGATAATGAAAATCGCAAGCAGAATCTAACCAAGTGAATCAGGCATAACAAGTCAGTGATGGCCACTGGT